ATTGGACCTGGGGCTTATTATGAGGGAAAATTGGATACCCAACATTGTAAATCCATTCAAATGTCCATGCCTGGGAGGTTATAAGACTTATGAGGGACTTAATTGTGTTGTTTAGCTATTTTGACAATATTGAAAGTAGAAAGCCACTTTTATTTTTAATTTTTTATTATTAAGAAATTTTCTATTCATTTTACATGCCAACCATAGATCCCCCTCTCCTCCCTTCTCCTGCCCCCCTAGCCTTCTCCCCAACCCACCCCAATTCCCACCTCTTCTAAGGCAAGGCCTCCCATGGGGAGTCAGCAGAGCCTGGTACATTCAGTTGAGGCAGGTCCAAGCCCCTCCCCCACTGCACCAAGGCTGCGCAAAGTGTCCCACCATAGGCAGTGGGCTCCAAAAAGTCTGCTCATCCACCAGGGATGGATCCCGATCCCACTGCCAGGCGATCCCCTAAATAGTTCAAGCTAAACAACTATCCAGAGGGGCTAATCCAGTTCCACAGGGGCTCCACAGCTGTTGGTCCACAGTTCATGAGTTTCCACTAGTTTGGAAAGCCACTTTTAAATATTTGTGTTTATTCATGTAGATAACCAGCACTAGGCTATGATCAGATAAGCTTCTGTTCCAGGGGACTACACCGAAGACAGGGAAGTAAGGCTCCATAAATGGCTGAGAATCATTGGGAATTTAGTGCTCAGACCTAAATAAGGCATTTATACTTTCCTCTCCAAGCCTCAGGGAAAATGATAAAAGAGGCAAAGGAAAAATTGTTAGAGTCAAAAGACAGGAGGAAGAGCTGCAATGTGCCATCTTCAGGGTAATGTCCAGCAATTTAATCATGAACTTTTAAGTGAGGATGACCACACTGGGTCTGTACAAGAGTGGCCAACAGCCGGACAAGAAAGGAGGAGGGCCTGAGAGGGAGTATTCCTCACTGCTGAAGTATTTTCCACTGATAGGATCAAAGAAATGGTACTTAGTGACTTCATTGGTGTGCACACTGGTGACTTCACTAACCTCCAGTGGACACTCCCAATCTAAATGGCACAGAGATGTCCCTGGATAAACTGAATGGATCACACAATAAAAACACAAGTTGTATATCTGGGAAAGGGAAAAGTAGGGATGATAGGTGATTATAGAGTAGGAAGAGGGATGAATAACCACAATGTAATACATACATACACAGAATTGCCAAATAAACAACTTAATAATAACTGAATAAATACATAAAATGTTTCTGAAAATCAAGTTAAATCATTCATCTATCAAAGAGTCAGGGTACAAATGGGAGAAAGCTACACATCTAAGGTAAGATTAATATCAAAAGAATGTAAAAAAAATTAACGAACACGGATGAGCAGGTATCTCTAGATTAGGACATAGAGTCCTTTGGGTATATAACCAAGAAGGGTCAAACTGGGTCATGTGATGTGTGTGTGTGTGTGTGTGTGTGTGTGTAAAATAAATAAACACACAATATTTATATATATTTAGCTTTTTGAGACACATCCACATTGATTTTAATAGAAACTGCAATTGGTTTCCATTCTGACCAGCAGTGAATAAGTGTTCCTATTCTGCACACCTATGCCAGCCTTAGTTCTCATTTGTTTGTTTGATCTTACCCATTTGGACTGTGGTGAGATAATAGAACCCCACGAACCTTTACTCTGCATTTCTCTGATGCATGAGGTTGTTGAAGGTGGATGACGACACGGAAATACTACCTCCTACACGTTCGGACAGGTGCACATATGAACTCTCAGTGGTGATGACAGTCTGTACAAAACCTGTGCGAAAGCAAGCCAGATCAAAACCCATCATGGGGAAGACAATTAGGCACACAATGCCAAACCTAGTTTTGGAGTCATTGCCAACTTTTAGCTGAATAAAGTTATTTGGTGGTTCAGTAACGATCCTGGAAGCTGTTTGGAAATATTTCCCACAGGTGAGTAGTCATAAATATTGATCAAACAAGGACACTTATACAAATATGTCCATGACACATTCATACAAGATCCATATATGTTGCGATCAATTATTGCAGTGCTTATTATTACTTTCCAGACTGACATCTCTTACACCTTGTAAGCATCATTTCAGAATGCTAGAACTTACAGCATGCTGGATATTAAAGAAGAAAGGAAATAGATCTCTCAGGTTTACATGTCAAGAGCATCTTAGCAGCTTCTACTAAGCTGTGGAGAAGGTCTCAGATTAGACAGTTTTATTGTTGCTTGGAATACATCCAGAAGACCTCATAAGACTAGAGAGAAATCAAAGGGAGCTTAATCATGTGACCAACTCTGGGAAAAATCCAATGCTGAGCAAAATAACACACTGCACAAGATGAGCTCAGATCTCCTGAAAGAGTAATTTCCCCCAAATCTGTAAACAAGCTCTTGAACTAAACATCCTAAAGGTTCCAGCATCTCTGCATCATCACACTAGTGATTCAGCTCCCAATACAGGAAATGTCTGGTTAGTGTATGGAGTACTCCCCAAAACACAGCACATGTGTGTTGAGAGAAGAAAGCTTACAATGGGGCTCTGTTACAAAGCTGGTTAGTGTATGGAGTACTCCCCCAAACACAGCACATGTGTGTTGAGAGAAGAAAGCTTACACTGGGGCTCTGTTACAAAGATGGGTGAATTCCACCACAGACATGAGAAAATACATACAACTTTATTATATTTTAATTCACTTGATTCATTTTATTTTTTTATTTTTATTAAGAAATTTTTTATTCATTTTACATACCAACCACATATCTCCCTCTCTTCCCTCCTCCCACCCCTCCAGCTTCCTCCCCCCAACCCACTCCCCACTCCCTCCTACAAGAAGATAACACCTCCCGTGGAGAGTCAGCAGAGCCTGGTACTTTCATTAGAGGCAGGTCCAAGTCCCTCCCCCTGCATCAAGGCTGTGTGAGGTGTCCCACCATAGGTAGTGGACTCCAAAAAGCCTGCTCATATATCAAGCATAGATCCTGATTCTACTGCCAGGGGGCCCCTTAAGCAGATCAAGGTACACAACTGTCTCAATTATGCAGAGGGCCTAGTCCAGTCCAGTGGAGGCTCCACAGATGTTGATCTAAATAAAATTTTAAAAGTACATTGGCTCGGCCTGGGAGGAGGGGACTGGACCTGCCTGGACTGAGTCTACCAGGTTGATCTCAGTCCACGGGGGAGGCTTTGCCCTGGAGGAGGTGGGAATGGGGAATGGGCTGGGGGGAAGGTAAGGGGGGCAGGAGGGGGGAGAACAAGGGAATCCGTGGCTGATATGTAGAACTGAATTATATTGCAAAATAAATAAATAAATAAATAAATAAATAAATAAATAAATAAATAAATAAATAAATAAATAAACATTCATAAACAATAAAAAAAGTACATGGAACTTAAATCGTTATAAAGCACTTGATGCCTAATTTCTTCACAAATATAAGGAGAAAATGTAAAGGCAATCTGTGCTGTGCCATGGCATAAGAAGCCATAGTTGACATAGGATGACAGAAGGACATGAGGAGGCATCTTTGAGTCTGACAGCAATGTGTCTCCATTTGTGAGGCAAATGTAGAGGAGTGCCCAGTCTAGAAAATATTGATCAGTGCATGGCTGACTCATACACAGATGTTTAAAACATAAAGATCAGTAATTTAGAACTTTAGGGTGAAAATGAAAACACGGTGGTCTAATGTCATAAAATGTCTTGTTGGAAAATATAACCTTTAAATAAACATAAAGTTGAGTCATGGTTTTTTAAAACAAGATGAATCATTATGAAAATCAATTTTAAAAACAGAAATTAAGAGATTAAAATAAAGTAGAATGTGAGATTGATGGAGACATAGGTGTAAATTCTCATTATTTTGTGATATAATACTGATGAGAGCTGTACAGGACAAATATTGCTTGATTGAGTTCATTGGCTGTTTTATAAACCTGCGTTAACTATAAACATAACAATAAGTGAAAATAATTTTATTTAACAAGTCATCCAATATGTCAACAGATCATTAATTTTTATGTTAATAAAATCATTAGTAATACTGTAAAACAAAAAGTGTAGTGGGTACCTGATCCCCCTATAACCTTGAGTTACCAGCCCCTAGGGCGTGGCCTTGGGGACAGCTGAAGACCGGTCCCATGGCAGTAGGATCTGGATGCACCAACTGATGCATCCCTGGTGCATGAGTTGGCTTTTTGAAGCCTACTATCTATGGTGGGACACCTTACACAGCTTTGATGCAGGGGGAGGGGCTTGCACCTGCCTCTACTGAATGTACCAAGCTCTTCTTACTCCTCATGGGAGGCTTTACCTTGTTGGAGGAGGGAATGGGGGGCAGGTTACCGGGGTGGGAGGGAGGCTGGAGAGGCTGGAGGAGGGAAGAGAGGGGAATCTGTGATTGGTATGTAAAATGAATAAAAAATTTCTAAAAAAAAAAAGACCTCAGGGACACCTATGCCTCAGTCTCTTCTCTCCCTTGTGGGCTTGGATGGTGCGGACTGACTCAGGTGACCAGTGCTGCATGGGACAGGACATCAGTCTTCCAGGACTCTGCCACGACTTTGCTTTATCCTGTTTAGTGAGGTGTTCTCCCCAATATAATTTCTAAATAAATAGTCCCTTTATCAGTATCTGCGGATTATCTGCAATAAAAGAGTAAAATAAAACATAAAATGTATGTTCATTTTGAAATTACCCTCTCAAATTTATATGAGTTGCACAAAATATTTTGAACTACTATGGGACAGATAATGAATATTATCTGAGTAAATGCATGTTCACAGGTATGTGTATATAAACACATTCATATATTTATATGAAAATATGCACAGTTAACAGACTAGTTTGAAGAAACTGTCTATATCGTTATTATATGTATGTTATGCTACACATATAATTGTGTGGATATGACCACATATGCAATAAAATTGTGAAAAATTTTCAATTTACTTGTTTGTCTTAAAATAGTTATTTTTATTATCATATTTTATTTCTTTTTCAGAGAAAGCAGACAACAGGATGTACTGGAGAAATGGCTAATGAGCAGGAAGGGGCTGACAGTTGGGAAACATCCAGCAACTAACACAGACACACTCACCAGGAGCCAACTGAGATTAAGAAAAAAAGCTAAACAGATGATAAATATGCAGGAGAGTGTGTAAAAGAATACAAAGGTGCTCACCAGGAGAAGGACGGTTTTGGTGGCTCTGGACTCAGGGGAAGACCTGGAGGAGACCTTGGACCTGGGCATGTGTTGCATCCTCTGCTTGTGTCTGTGCAGGATGAAAACCATGTAGGCACTGGCCCAGACCATGAGCCCCACAAAGAGAAAATCAGGAACTGACAGGAAGGTTATGTACAATATGTCACTGGTTTTATCAAGATTATCAGCAGCACAGTATCCCAGATCTTTTAGGTTTGCTGTGTTGTTCTTGCTATATTTTGCTCTCACATACACAAGATTAAAACTACTGGCAAACATGTACAGGATCCAGCTCAGGAACACAGAAGACCCAATGTATTTGTGTGTTCTTCCTTTAAACTCTGCCCACCTGGAGTCCCTTGGGCTGATGGTGATGGCCTGGACGACACTCAGGAAGCTAGTGCTGCCTATGGACACACCTTTACCCACTCTGTGGAGGTAGAAAAGCCCTTTGCACCCAAAATCACTGAGGAAGTCTTTCCATCCAAACACAGCTATTATCTGGGGTACCCCTTTACAGGACAGACTTAAGATGTTGGCTATAGTCAAGTGCATCAGAATCCAGTCTGTGGACCTTAACCTGCACCCCCTGAAGTGAAACAACAGATAATGGTGGAGGAGATAGGAGTTGCCCAGAATTCCTACCACAGTCTGTGACAAGAAGATCACTCCTACAGCCAACTCACTGTCTGCCAAGGTGACAGGTCCTGCTGTCAGCCTGAGGGTCCTGCATGGGAAGATGATGCCAGAGGTTACATGTATTGTGTCATTCATAATGAGTCTCAGTATAAGTATTCAGCAGAGTTTTCTTTCCTTGGGAGGTTGCTGGGCTTATTCTGTGAATTTATCTTCATACATCATGTACAGGGCCTGGCTCTATGTACAAGATGACTTTACACCTTTTATGGCATGTGGGGAAGCCACTACCATAACTTATATTATAAAAATGAAAAAGCTTGGCCAGGCAGTGGTGGCTCATGCCTTTAATCCCAGCACTTGGGAGGCAGAGCCAGGCGGATCTCTGTGAGTTCGAGGCCAGCCTGGGCTACCAAGTGAGTTCCAGGAAAGGCGCAAAACTACACAGAAAAACCCTGCCTCGAAAAACCGAAAAAAAAAAATGAAAAAGCTTGAATAAGGGTTAGTGAGGCCAACTCTTTATAAATTCACACTCCAGTTAAGACTAAAATGGGGTTCTAAAACTGGCTGAGTGGCAACAGAGACAGTGAGAGAGAGAGAGAGAGAGAGAGAGAGAGAGAGAGAGAGAGAGAGAGAGAGAGAGAGAGAGATTTACTTTTTTGATGCAATAAAATTCCACATAGTTGTAAAGATTAATTTTGTTGATTAATTAAAATGTAAGTAAATATGGAGCTACCTCAGTTAATTTTTGTGCATTTCTGTAATTATAATGCAACAGTAGCCTATATCATGATGGGTTATTTGCAAATAGGCAACCATCTCTCAACAACAGAAGAGGCATACAAGTCCTCAAATGACTGATATTAGGAATAGTTTCAATGACCCTTTTCAAACAATTATGATAGTCATACATCATGTACTCAGTCTTGTGGGGGGAAAAGACCAATACATGAAAATTGTGCATAATATCAATAAAGTATTATTAATTTCAGATCAATTTTACACATTACTTACATTATTTTTCTTCTCTGACTACGCACAGTGACTCTGACAGTTTTTTCCTTTGGACCCTGCCTCTCAGATGGCAATCAGTTACATTCACTATTTTCTTACCCAGATGCTGATCTCAGCACTGTGGCCACATGTATCTGGTCAGCTGGATACAGCCAGCCAATTCCTGATATATAAGTCTTTGATTCTGTGACCTCATCTCCCCTCAGACTTGCAATTATCATTTCACCTTCAGTAGCAATGGGAAATGATCAGCTATGAACTTTTTTTTAGAACTTTCCCCCTAGTTGATAGTAAGCTGAGACAATCACAAGTTTCTGTACAACATGACTTAAGTGAATGTTGGAGGGATCAAAGATTCTCTTCCATGTCTTTGAACTTGGGATGGAGAGAGTATCTCATGGGGAAGGAAGTGGAAACACTTGGGTCTGACATGGAAAGGACTGACAGTATCTTTTTTGTCTCCTCGAATTCCTGGTTTTTCTCACTGAGAATTTTCCCAGACTCTAGAATTATATTTCTATACCACATCTTCATCAGTTACTCCAATATGTTTGTTACTAGAAGATTAAGAAATGTGACAAAGTACTTAGATGGGTGGGAATTTCCCACGGTTGCATGTTATTCATATTTTTACAGTATGGATTGTTTGATTTTGAAGCTCTTTAAAGACTCACAGGTACAGTCATCATCTACTTGACGATTTTTTTCTGGAAGAACCCAAACTATTACGATTATCTGCATACTAGTTACCAGTCCCAGAGTCCCAAGAGGCCTCCAGAGAAATTCCGCCTTTGATATTGCTCTTAGTTCCCCTCCATAACTGTATCATAATTCCCTACTGGTGCAGCCAGCTCATGATTTTAGCGCAGAAGATAGAGAAATCAGTCATGAACTGGCCAGGCTACTGACTCACTTACATACTGCTAGAATGTGCTAACCAGCTTGCCTGGGAAGAAAAGACTCCAATGTTCTATTTTCTAATGGACCCTGATACTACAATACTGACCTGCCTGACAAGATGTGCCACTGGGGCTATATTGACAGTACTTTTTATGGGGTAACCAAGTGCTCTTTTGATTGGGTTTTAGATCAGTCCATGGGAGAAAATTCATTCCTGGGACTGGGAACATTGTTCAAACCACAGGAAAGTAAACTCTTAGGACCCAATGAGAATACCCTGATAATTGTCTTGCTAATTGTCCATGTTGTCAAACTTCCTTAATTACTTAGGTTTATTTCAGAGTTTATGCTACTCCCAAACTTGTACAAGAGAAGCTTATTATAGTGGGTAGTAATAAATATAGAGAAGCATTATTGTTGAAAGTGCTAGAATGAGCAAATGAGAGTGTTCAGCTGTAGATGGAACTTATGTACTGACCATTAAACTAAAAAGTAAGGCAACTTTGCAGAAGAGTAGGTGGAAATATTGTAAAGACCAGTGAATAATAGCTTTAAATACTGTCTTTGGGTAGTGACATAGTTGTGGTGGTATTTTACTTGTACTGAAATGTGATTTTAATTGTATGTTAATAAATAAAGTTGACCAGGGGTCAGAGCTATTAGAGCCATAGCAAGTGCATGGCGGCGGTGGCATATGCCTTTAATCTCAATACCATAGAGGACCTGGAGGACTGTACATACAAGCAGTGATGAGGCAGTCACGTGTTTGGGTTTACAACCAATGAGAAGGCAAAACAGCTAGACTATATAAAGACATACACACAGGAAGTAGGTCCTTTTCGGAGAGCTCTCTTGGCTGAAGCAGGAAGGGTAAGTCTCTTAGCTTTGACCTCTTGGCTTTCTTCTCTGAATCAGCTCTGTGTTTCTTATTTAATAAGATGGTTGGTTACATCTACACATAGTTGTAGCACACACGAACTCACAGTAGCTACGGTTATATAGAAGACCTGAAAATAGTGAGTCAATTAAAATTGCAGCATGGCAGAGGTAAGGAGCTACTGATGATATCTCACCTCTGGCTGAGGAGCTACGAACAATTGTTGGATACTACAGAAGGAAGAGTCTGTTTTCTTTGAGAGTGTGGACACTGGTGGACTCTTTATCTCCCAGTGAATGGCCACATACTCATGCATATATTCATAGCACTAAGATAAAATGGCCAAATAATTAAGCAAATAGAATATTAAAAAAGACTAAAATGAAGTCTGCAGGAGGGTGTTATGGAAGGGGTCTTGGGATAATGTTTGATAGGGTAGTGAAATGTGGATATGATGAAGATGCATTGCATACATGTAAGAAATTTGCAACGGAGAAATTAAAATTAATATAAAAATAAGAAAGCCATAAATAATAAACTCTTTAAATGAAAAAAAGAGCTGGGTAGTGGTGGCACACACCTTTAATTCCCCAGCACTTGGGAGGCAGTGGCAGGTGGGTCTCTATGAGTTTGAGACTAACCTGGTCTACAGAGCGAGTTCGAGGACAGGCTCCAAAGCTACATAGAGAAACCCTATCTCAAAAAATAAAACAAAACAAACAAACAAAGATAAAAAGAAACCCAGTGAAAAATACACAATTACTATGATTCATCTAGATAAGCCCTATTTTGTTGTTTCTTTGTTTCCAGCTCCTACACTGTGATAATTACTTAAATGTGGGTCTGATCCATTAAGATCTGTTGCAGTATATCCAGCCTCACAAAGATTGTGTCCCTCCATGGAACTCTAAAAAGCCTTCAGTCTTGTACCAGGGACTTACTGAAATTACTTCCTTCTCAATTTGCTTGTGAACAAAGGCCTGCCCTGCATGGGAAGATTGGTATCACCTACTAGAATTCTAAGGACCAATCCTTTCCTCTCCTTTCCTTCATTTTCTCTCCGTCCTAGGAATTGTTTTGAGACACCATTGCTGGGAGATATGAACCAAGTTCTTCTTTCAGGCTGGGACCCGATGACAGACCACAGTCGATTGACAGACACATCTACTTGGTGGATGTCTGGTAATCAATGTTAATGGAGTAACTTATAAGAATACGAGTTAGGATTAGATATGAGAGAGAAAATGCTCTAACACATCAATATCAACAAAATCCATCCATGATGGCTCACAAAAGCTGTAAACCTCGGGTGCATTGAACAGCTTAAAGGCAGACGAACAGTTTTCAGAATGTTATTTCCAGGTTTTTATTTGGCCCAAGTCTTTTTCAGTAAGTATGGCTGTTCTTTGCTTCTCATGTTCAGTTTTGATGTCTGCTTGTCCAGGTTGCTTGACTATTCTGTCTCTTCCAAGCATCTAAGATGTCTGAGACTTATTAAGCAGCACCCCTTTTAAAAAAAATTCTGTCCTCAGTCCTTACCTCTTATTTATGCCTGAGGACAAGGGGCCCTGTCAATCTTGTGCCTTTCATTTACTTCCTGAATCCATTCAGTTGTTTACTTCCTGAGCTTAAGGAGCAATCCTACAGGGTGGATGGAATGTTTCATGTCCCCTTAGGGCATCGTGTTATTAAACTTGGCAGTACACACTCTATCATAAAATATCCTGTTGTTTCACCTGCTTTTAGCATCCTGTGATCAAACAAGCTTCCTCCAAAATGTAAGGTTTTAAATGTAAGGAAAATACTACACAATAGGTTTACTCCAATACTTTACATGTGATCAGCCCATCTCTCAAATACAGATATTTCTATTTCAGTCTTGATTTCCACAATCTCTGTCTCAAAGGCAATTGTTATTTATATCACTCAGCTTCTCTACTTGTAAGGCCCTCAGACAGATCTCATTAAAACTTCATGTCTCATGGATTCAGAAGACAGGCAGTAAGAGGCTTTGAATTTTTTCTTTTTTTTTTTTCAGAGCTGAGGACCAAACCCAGGGCCTTGCACTTGCTAGGCAAGCACTCTACCACTGAGCTAAATCCCCAACCCCTGAATTTTTTATTAATTACTTCCCTACCCACTTTTCATCCACTTGAACTCCATTCCCTTTTACTGGTTAGCATTTCTAGACAATTTGAAACAATACCTAATAACTGAGGAAGAGGGAAATTCAACTAAGAAAATAACTCCATCCAATTCCTGTTATATAAGCCCATATAGCATTCCCTATATTGTCCTTCAGTCACAGGTGGTGCTGTGAGACACAATTCTGGGTGAAATGTGGACAAATTTCTATTTACTCCAGATGGGAAACTGATGAGAAACAATAGTTAGAGAACACTAAAGCCCCACTTGCTGAACCAATGAGTTTTATTGACAAGAATATGTAAATAGAAGGTGTTACTTACAAAATTATGGAATAGGTGTTAGATACAGGAATAGAAATGACTCAAAGACAGATGCATTGACAATTTTAAAAATCTACACTGTAACATGAATCTTAAAAGGTCTTGTTAATAAAAACAAACCCAGGGCCAGGTATTGGGGTGAATACTGAAAGATCAGAGAGACAGAACACAAACCACAGCTGACCTCACCTCACCAACTCCTCAGTTGATCTCGTTTCCTCAAACTGGAACCCTCTGTATCCTCATCCGAAAGGATCTCAGCTGAACTGCTGCTCAAAAGCCTAAAAGCTTAATCTGGCTCTAGTTCCTGGTTTTCATGCTTTACATAACTTTATGCTTCCTGCCATCACTTCCTGAGATTAAAGGTGTGTGTCACCACGCCTGACTGTTTCCAGTGTGGCTTTCAACTCACAGAGATCTTGATGGATCACTGCCTCCAGAATGCTAGGATTAAAGGTGTGTGTGCCACCATTTTCTGGCCTCTATGTCTATCTAGTGGCTGTTCTGTTCTCTGACCCCAGATAAGTTTATTAGGGTGCACAATATATTGGGGGACACAATATCACCACATACACTGTGCAGAAACCCCTTGGATGCGGACACACATCTGAGATGTCCCAAGCTAGTTCACTGTTAGCAGTAAAATCTTGAGGGATGGGAAGGATGGGTTAAGTGTCTCTTCAAGGCCCTAAGAGGCCTTGTTAATAAAAGGTCTTGTTAATAAAAACAAACCCAGGGCCAGGAATTGGGGTGAATACTGGAGAGTTCTTCCATGAGGGAGACTTATAGGCCTGAACTCATGGAGCAGTCATGAGTCATCACAGCTTCTATGATGCAGTCATCATGCCCAAGGCTATCATAGAATACAGAGCTGAATTGGAAGACAATCTCAGAACATTCTGCATTTGTTTTGTTGTAAAAATAGTTTTCAAACAAGGTATTTTTATGTCTGGCTTATTGTTTAAATTCCTTTGTGTTCTAAGTTGGAATGGCTCAAAAATCATACTGGAAGCCAAGCTCCACGCACTCCACTTTCCAGTTTCCTGGGATTTCATAGAGTTTCAGTTCATTGTGATTTCATGCATGTTCATGAGCAGCCCTGATGGAGGACTCAGCATTTCCCTGTAGAAACATTAAATCTTTCATATGTTTGTGCTATGACCTTTGAAAATCACAAATGAAATCAAGAAAACGCCATCTTTATGTCAAAAACAGGCTTCAGTTTCAGGTTAATTCACTCTTTTATGTGTTGGAATGAAGACCCCAGTATGTTACACTGTCACCTAATTTGCCATTGGGGAGCATATATATATGTGTATATATATATATATATATATATATATATATATTACAATTTTTTATTAAAAATATTTTTTTCCTTTTACATACCAACTTGTTTCCTCTCCCTCCTCTTCTCCTACTCCCCCACCTACCCCCATGCTACTCCCTCCTCATAGAGAATAAGGCCTCCCTTGGGTAGTCATTGGGGAACTTTTTAAACTTATCTCTGTCCTATCTTCCTCTTTCACCCCTCATCATCCACTTAACTTCCATGCCCCCTTGCACTGCTTAATTTTTTGTTGATTTTAAACAGTCTCTGATCGTCTTGGAGGAGGCAACCTCAGTTATGAAAATTCCTCTATCAGATTACCTGTAGGCATTGTATATTGCACTTTTTGATTAATGAATGATGTGGGAGGGGTCAGCCCTCTGTGGGTATTGCCAAAGTATGGGCAGGGGAACTTGGGTTTTATAAGAAGGCAGGCTGAGCAAGCCACAGCCTGCAAACCACTAAGTTGTATTCCTCCACACGTTCTTTAGTTTCTGCCTCTAGGTTCCTAACTTGACATCCTGCCCACACTTTACTTTATAATGGCTTGTAAGATGTAAAGGAAGCCATGCCATTCCTTAACAGGTATTTTGGCTATGATGTTTATCACAGTAGTAGAAAGCAAACTAAGACACTCCTCCACTTCAGTGGCTTTATTTGCTTACAAAGTCAATTTTTTAAAGATTCATATGGTATTTGTTGTATGTTGGGTATATTTTTTTCTCCTACCTCCCCAGGACCCTTTCACGGACCCTCCCTTCATCATTATTGATAATTTTGCCTTTTAATTTTATATGACATAGGTCTGTATGAGTTCATCACTGATAATGCTCTTTGTCTTCCTCATCTTCCAGGACTTTTGCTTCCTCATGTCCACTAACCCATTCTGGATTTCCCTACCCAAGCTCAGGATTAGAATAGCATTCTGATTTCTTTTTATAAAAGTGTTATATTAATTGACCCTTTGCATCTAATTTATAAATTATTTTGTTCATTTTATTTTTTCTACTAGCCCTTTGAGCCCATTTTATATTCAGTGTTTAATGTACCAGGAAAAATTTTACTTTTTGAAATATTTCATACTACTTATAAAGTCAATCACTTATGCTGTGATATATTTGTAATATTGAGTAGACTCTTTTTTATTATATTTTCTTTTTTTTTAATTTTTAACACATCCAGACTGCAGTTTCCCTTCCCTCGACTCCTTCCAGCTTCCTCCATCCACTCCTCTTTCATTTGCATTTCCATATCCCAGGGATATCAGCCAAACACAGCATAACAACATAAAATAAGACTAGATACAAAGTCAGGCAATCGAGTAGGAGGAAAAGGGTCCCAAGAGCAGGCAAAAGAGTCAGAGATATCCCCATTGTCACTGTTAGGAGTCCCACAAAATTACCAAGCTAAAAATCTTAACATATTTGCAGAAAACCTAGAGAAGTCTAAAGCAAACTCTGTGATTGCTGCTTCAGTCTCTGTGAGCTCCTATAAACCCTGATTCATTGATTCTGTGGTCTGTGTTCTCCTGTGTCCTTGACCTCTCTGGCTCCATTAATTCTTCTTCACCCTCTTCCATGACATTCTCCAATCTCCAAGGGGAGGGACACAATGGAGATCTCCAATTTGGGCTCTCTCTACTTAATATTCACTATGTGTTTCTCCATTTTCTCTTTCTCTCTTCAGGTGCCAGCAGGGCTCCTCTGATGACAATTGGGCTAGGCACCAATCTATGAGTAGAGCTGAATATCATTAAGAATCATTTTACTGATTTTTATTTTTTAACCTAGTACTCTGGAGTACCCAGCCTCTGGTTCCTGTTCATCTAGGCAGTGTCTGTCATGGGATCCCTTTCATGGCATGAATCTCAAATTAGACCAGTCATTGGCTGGCCACTCCCAAAAGTTCTGTGCAACCATTGCCCCCAAAACATCTTGCAGACAGCATTTTTTACATTGAATATATGTTGAAGGATTTGTGGATGGGTTGGTGTCCCATTTGCACCACTGGAAGCCTTGTCAGGTTACTGAAGATGACCAGTTCAGGCTCTATATGCTCTATTACTAGGAGTCTTCCTAGCGTCACACTTGTAGATTCCTGGGAATTCTTACTGCACTGGGTTTCTGCATCCCCCCCCAAATGATCTCCAATTCTAGTTATCTCTCCCTGTACTCCATCCCTCCTCCCCTTCCTGATCCAGGCTGTTCCCATCCTGACCCATTCCAAGTCTACTCTATTTCCCCTTCTCAGAATGATTCTTGTATCCTCCATAAAGCCCTTCTTGGTACTTAGCCTTTCTGAGTCTGTGGATTATAGCATTATTATCATTTCATAGCTAATATCCACTTATAAGTGAAAATGTACCATGTTTGTAGTTCTGGGTCTGGGTTACCTCACTCAGGATAATATTTTTCTAGTTCCATCCATTTACCTGAAAATTTCATGCTGTTGTGTTTTTTTAGTAGCTGATTAATACTTCATTGTGTAAATGTACCACATTTTCTATATCCATTCTTCAGTTGAGGGACTGAAGTTTATTTCCAGTTTCTGTACATTGTGAATAATGCTACCATGGACACAGATGATCAAGTGATTTTTTTTAATTTAAGAAAATTTTTATTCATTTTACATACCAACCATAGATTCCCCTCCTATTCCTCCTCCCTCTCCCCCCAGGCTCTCCCTCAACCTACCCCTTATTCCATTCTCCAAAATGATAAGGCCTCCCATGGGAAGTCAGCAAAGCCTGGTACATTCAGTTGAGGCAGGACAAAGCTCCTCCCTCCTGCATCAAGGCTGAGCAAGGTATCCCACCATAAGTAATGAGCTCCAAAAAGCCAGCTCATGCACCAGGGATAGATCCTGATCTCACTGCCAGGGACCCCCTCAAACAGACCAAGTTACACAATTGTCTCCCACATGCAGAGGGTCTAATCTCGTCTCATGCAGGCTCCACAGCTGTTGGTTTAAAGTGCATGAGTTCTCATGAGCTTGGTTCAATTGTCTCTGTAGATTTCCCCATCATGATCTTGACCCCCTTGCTCATATAATCCCTATTCCTTCTCTTTGATCCATTTGTCTGCAAATTTCATGATGTCATTGTTTTTTACAGCTGAGTAATACGCCATTGAATAAATGTACTACATTTTCTTATCCAGTCTTTGGTTGAGGGGCATCTAGGTTGTTTCCAGCTTCTGGCTATTACAAATAATGCTGCTCTGAACATGGGTGGGCAAGTGTCCTTGAGGTATGATTAAACATGACTTGGGTATATGCCCAAGAGTAGTATCATTTGGACTTGAGGTAGATTGATTTCCAATTTTCTGAGATGTCACCACACTGATTTCCAAAGTGGTTGTACAGGTTTGCACTCTTACCAACAGTGGAGAAGCGTTCCCCTTGTTCCATATCCTCTCCAACATAAACTATCTTCAGTGTTTTTTATAATAGCCATTCTGACAGGTGTAAGATGGAACCTCAGAGTTATTTTGATTTGCATTTCCCTGAGGACTAAGGATATTGAGCAATTCCTTAAATGACTTTCAGGCATTTGAGATTCTTCTGTTGAGAATTCTCTGTTTAGCTCTGTAGTCTATTTTTAAATTGGATTGTTTGGTATTTTGATGTCTAGTTTCTTGAGTTCTTTATATATTATATATTTTATGATATATACATGCCCATCTGTCAGACGTGGGGTTGTTGAAGATATTTTTCCCATTCTGTAGGCTGTTGTTTTGTCTTATTTATTGTGTACTTTGCCTTAGAGAAGCTTCTCAGTTTCAGGAGGTCCCATTTATTAATTGTTGCTCTCAGTGTTTGTGCTACTAGTGTTATATTTAGGAAGTGGTCCCCTGTGCCAATCATTCAAGGCTATTTCCCACTTTTTCTTCTATCAAGTTCAGTGTAACTGGATTTATGTTGAGGTCTTTGATCCATTTGGACTTGAGTTTTGTGCATGGCTATAGATATGGATCTATTTGCAGTCTTCTACATGTAGACATCCAGTTATGCCAGCACCATTTGTTGAAGATGCTTTATTTTTTCCATTGTATGGTTTTGGCTTCATTGTTAAAAATCAGATGTTCATAGGTGTGCAGATTAATGTCCAGGTCTTCAATTTGATTCCATTGTCCACATGTCGGTTTTTATGCCAATACTAAGCTGTTTTTATTACCATAGCTCTATAATAGAGCTTGAAGTCATGGATGGTGATGCCTCCAGAAGTTGCTTTATTGTTCAGAATTGCTTTATCTATCCTGGGTTTTTTGTTTTTCCAAATGAAGTTGAGAATTGTTCTTTTGAGGTCTGTGAATAATTGTCTTGGGATTTTAATAGGGATTGCATTGAATTTGTAGATTGCTTTTGGTGATATTGCCATTTTTATTATGTTGGTCCTATCTATCTAAGAGCTTGGGGGAATCTTTCCATTTTCTGATATCTTCTTCAATTTCTTTCTTCAAAGACCTAATGTTCTTGTCATATAGGTCTTTTACTTGCTTGGTTAGAGTTACCCCCAAGGTATTTTATATTATTTGTGGCTATTGTAAAGGGTGATGTTCTTTGATTTCTTTCTTGGCTGGTTTATCATTTGTATGTAGGAGGGCTACTGATTTTTTTTAAGTTAATCTTGTATCCCACCACATTACTGAAGTTGTTTATCAGCTGTAGGAGTTCCCTGTTATTTTTTGGGTCACTTAATGTATACTATCATATCATCTGCAAATAGTGAAAGTTTGACTTCTTCCTTTCCAATTTATATCCCCTTTATCTCCTTTTGTTGTCTTATTGCTCT